CTCCACTTGTCATCAGTCTTTACTGCCATCAGTGCTGCTTTTAGTTGTCGATGGAACCTTTCGACAATACCATTGGATGCAGGATGGTACGCAGTGGTTCTTATGCGCTTGATCCCGAGAAGTTCAGTTAACTGTTGAAATAGACTACTCTCGAACTGCGCACCTCTATCTGTGGTGATGACACTTGGGACACCAAAGTTAGAAATCCAGTGTTGGATGATATTTCTCGCTACTGTTTCGGCAGATATATCCTGCAGAGGTATTGCCACTGGCCATCTCGTGAATCGGTCTACACATGTTAAAATGTAGCTAAAACCATTTGACGGAGGTAGTGGTCCAACGATGTCAACGTGTATATGGTCAAATCTGCCATCCGGTGGGAAAATCTTCCCGTAGGTGAAAGAATATGTCTTTGCACTTTCGATCGCTGGCACGCTAAACAAGCTCTGGACCACTGTCGAAGATCTCGATTCATCTTTGGCCAGACGTATCGGTCAGTAATTAACTTCACCGTAGCTCGAATACCAGGATGTGAAATGCCATGCATCTTAGAGAAGACTAATCGTCTCATTGATAACGGCACAAACGGGCGCGGTTTACCCTTGGATACATCACAGGTGATGGATACAGAGTCATCAAGTGTCACTTCTTCAAGACGTAATGAGGTGTTCACATTGTTTTTCAAATGTTTCAAGTCCTCATCCGTGGCCTGCAACTTTGCCATTTCTGCTAGGTCAATACGGTCACGTTCTAAGACGTTTACGTACATACGAGACAAAGCATCAGCTGCCTCATTTTTGCTGCCTTTGATATACCTTATATCTGAAGTGAATTGTGAAATAAATTCTAAATGTCGAATTTCTCGGGGCGAGTAGTTGTCATGCTTTGCATCAATTGCTTTTGTGAGTGGCTTATGGTCGGTGAATACTATAAATGAGTACCCTTCGAGCATATATCTGAAGTGCTTGATAGCCAAGTAAATCGCCAGTAGCTCTCTGCCGAATGTACTGTATCGCGATTGAGAAGCATTAAGTCGTTTCGAGAAGAAAGATAATGGTTCCCACTGACCGTGAACAAACTGTTGTAGTACTGCGCCTACCGCAACATTTGAAGCGTCTGTCATGATGGCTAGTGGTGCTTCTGAATCACGACGAGAGAGAAGAGTTTCAGAACTTAGAGCCAGCTTCAGTTTGTCAAAAGCATCATGGGCCGCTTGGGTCATGTGAAACACTTTGGCTCGTCCTTGCAATAAATCTGTCAGCGGTTGGGCTACTTCAGCACATTTAGGTATGAAACGTCGATAGAAGTTTATTAACCCCAGAAATCTTCGCAGCTTTCGAAACGAGTCTGGAACAGGATATTCTCGAATTGCATCTACTTCTTGCGGAACCGGTTTAACACCGTTGGCATTAACAATGTGACCCAAAAACTGTAGGGATTCCTTGCCAAATTCGCATTTCTGCGGATTGATTGTAATGCCATATTCACGCAGTCGTTCGAAAAGCGTCCTCAGATGTTGCAGGTGCTCTGTTTCAGATGCGCTAGCTACTATTAAGTCATCTATGTATGCACTGACGAAAGGTAAGCCATGGAGTACCTGATCTATAAATCTTTGGAATGTTTGAGCAGCATTTGTCAAACCAAACGGCATACGAATAAATTCGAATAGTCCGAAGGGGTAGTGATGGCCGTCTTAGGAACATCATTGGGTTCCACAGGAATGTGATAGTAAGCTCGCACGAGGTCAATCTTGGAAAAAATATTTACTTTTGTCATAGAGTTCATAAAATCATGTATGTGAGGAATTGGATACTTATCAGGGACCGTACGCTTATTCAACGCTCGATAATCACCGCAAGGCCGTATTTCCCCTGATGCTTTTTTAGGTACCATATGCAGGGGTGATGACCATGGGCTTTGGAAGGGCGTATAACTCCCAACTTTAGAAGTTTATCAAATTCCTGTTTTGCTATCTGCAGCTTTTTAGGGTCTAAGCGTCGAGGTTTTGATGAGACTGGAGGACCTTTTGTAAGAATATGGTGCGTCACCGTATGTTTTGGAGAGGACTTCGTGTAATCCGTTTGAGTGAGCTCGGGAAATTCTCGCAGAAGGATATCGTACTCGGAAGTGTTGTTTATTGGAGCTACGACTAAGTTTATTGTTTTTGTCTCCGTAGCGATACCGGTGATAGAAAATTCACCATTACGGCTGACTAGTCTATGGCGACTAGAGTCGACCAATAGTTCGTAGTGTTGAAGGAAATCCATGCCAATGATAGGCGACGATATGTCAGCTATGACGAATTCCCACTGGAATGGTGTATGAAAGCCAATGTCTAGGATCAAAATTCTGGTCCCATATGTAGTAATAGCAGATCTATTTGCCGCTTGTAGTACCAAAGTTGGGTTGGGATGGCGTTTTTCGGAAGGTGTGGGTGGGATCACGCTCACTTCCGCTCCAGTGTCAACCAGAAACTGAGCTCCAGTCTTCCTATCCGTCACTCGAAACAAACGACTGTGTTGTTGTACGCCGGCGACAGCAGTCGTCACTGATCGCCGGCCTTTCCGTTTCCCGATGAAAAGGTTTTAAAGTCGCATGGTAACAAACAACGACGTGCTTTACTGCCAAACTTCTTGTGATACCAGCACGTGCTACTTTTAGACGCAATTCTACTCGTGGTCCTATCACGACTACGGGATCTGCTTCTACAGAACTTCGGTGACCGTCGGTTTAACTGCAAAGCCGTCAGTTGTCCTGTAAGTATGTCTATCTTCCTCTCTAAAGCGGCCACTCGGTCGTTTTGCGTTGGCTCAGCAATACTTTCAACCGGTTTAGGCATCCTTTCGTACATACGGTCAGCGATGTCAGCCAACCTGTCAATGTCAATGTCCGCATCTCCGACAGCTAATATCTGCTGAATGCATGAAGGAAGTCTCCGCAGCCAGAGCTGGTAGAATAAACGGTTGTCTACTTTCCTATCTTTCAGCAGACTTTGCATATGTCGCTTAAGTTGTGAAGGTGTTCTGTCACCGAGGCATATGCTACTTAGTAGTTGATCGACAGCCTTCTGGTCAGATAACGAAGTAGCTTTCAGCACCTCCTGCTTCAAAACATCATAAGGTGTGTCTGGGTGGGGCTTTAGTAGTGTCTCCCTTACTTGTTCAGCCACTTCTTCCGGCAAAACAGAGCTTGTGTATCCGAACTTTGTGTTTTGTGAAGTTATATGATTGGCCATGAAGAAATGTTCTAGACGGACAAACCACAATTGCGGGTCGTTAAACTTAAAACAAGGCATAGGAAGATTAATGGCACCCACGGACCCTAAATTCGAAAAGTCTTGATTATGAGAGTTTAAGGACATCAGTACTGGTACAGCAAAAAAAATATTCAAGAACAAGAGCAGGAAAAATACGATAAACAAGTATGTCAATGCCTACCACAAAGCAGCCAAAGAAATTCTCAGTATATATGTATATCCGTATTGTATACAGTCATTAATGGCCGGTTGCAGTATTCAATTGCGAGAGTTTAATCACGTCGGGCTCACCAGTTTGTCGAGCTCTGAAATCTGACTCCAAATTTTATATACGTGTCCAGATACACTATCGCCTATTTATAATTCCCGACACTGCTGATCCACCTGCGTCAGACAGTGTAAATATCAGGAGTTAACGAGAAGTATATATCAGGATGTTGTATTAGTCAACGAGCGAGCAAAAAGTCTTTTTTAGTACAACTAAACAAACAATGTTCAGTGAGTTGTTACACACATCAACACAATACAGTGAAAGAAAATGCTACAAGGTAATTCACTTGTATATACAAACAAATCAGATAGTCTGAAATATACGGATGATAGGCATCAAATTTTATGTTCTCTTGTGAGTGGTTGGGAGGAGAGAGAGTTTGGCGAACTGCGTGACTCATTGTTTGGATGGATTGAGCATTCAAGATTGGCTTGACAAGTATGTTCCAGCAAGTCACCTACTTATGACAGTTGCAACCAGACAGTCGGTTGTGGGTAATCGACAGGAAACCCTTAATGATATGGGGTAATGTACTTGGTAACTCATCAGTAAGACATTTCTTCAACCTTCAAGGAACTGGTGTCTCCTGTGAGGTTGGAACCCGTATCACCTTGTATAACAGTCGGTGACGTTACCAAGGAGCCATCTCTTTGACTGATATCACGCTTCATCCACCTAGCCGTCCTCCACAGTCAACAATCCAGCCGCGGTTCGAATTTTCATTCCTTCTTCAATCGTCACCCAGTAGAAATGCTAGTGTGCTAAACCTAGGCTATCTCAGATAGTCAAAATGATAATCCTTAGATAATTCAGAGGTTTCTGGCGGTTGGAAAGAATCGTTCAAATATGTTAATTCACATCGCCGTTGGACAGGTGTTCTTCTGGTTCCATTCGAAATTTGTTTACCTGCGAAGTGCTGAGTGAAGAGTAAATGATTCCGAAATGAACATGACAGGGATTATACGTTCTCTCTGTGCTTTGCTGAGAATGATAACGAAACTATCATCATAAAAACATAATGCTACAGTTTGGTTGACTATATTTGTTTCCGGGTGATAGAGAATTGAATATTGTTGGCATCCATCAATAAGGTGTAACTATAAGTGTTACATAACTGTGCAAATGAGAACTAACAGGAAACACTGACAAATAACCGGTAATATAGCTTGCAAAAGTCACGTGTATGAAAAACTGTATTCTCTCAAAGATCCATATGCACCATGGTGATAAATGATGACAAGCGTGAAACATAGGTTCAGCATATCATGCTGACAGCCTCTAATCCAACCCTAATGGATCCCAGTCGTCTCCAGAACAACACTAACATCTCTGCCCTCTGAACTAAGTGACATAGGTTCAAATCTGTGAGGGTGGCTTAAGTGTCTCCAAGGTAGCATATATTCGTTGCTGGGGAGTGCCAACAAACAAGAAACTTGGGTGTAACAAGGCTTCCTGTTCATAGTCTCCAACCACTTAACTCTTGAAGCATAGTTTATTCTCCGGATAATGAATTGATCTTGATTCTCTGATAAAAATTTATCCAACAAATCTTTAGAGAAATATTTGAATAAATGAAACGATGGCTGATAAGAATTGCATTGTCTTACATAAAACTCTAATGGTAGAGAAATTAATTTTCTTGTTGACTTTACTGTAAAATCATTTTCCACTGAACCATTTCCTTTTCACCTTTATCTACTGGTTTTACTGTCTAACTATTGATTGACTGACCAATTTCATCTAATTATAATTTATGGCAAAAAGGCTGAATCAGTCGAAATTATTTCATCATAATTCTCAACATTTAGGCAATTAAAATAAACTTCATTTAGGAATTTATTGATCTTGAGGTGTTTATCAAAGGCTGACATCAGTTAAAGAAAAACAGAATGTCTGAGAGCACCAGGTAGTCATTTCGTTCCACTATGCGTCCCCCAGGCAGTGTGTCTCCATGACCCCGCCAAGGACCCTAAGCGAAGACATTTAGGTCTTGCGATAAACACTTTACTATTTGAAGTTGTTATTCATCGTAGACTGACATCAGTTGGAGGAACAAAAGAAACCTGGAAGCACTGGACGGCTGTTTCGTCCCAGTATGGGACTCCTCAGCAGTGCGCACCCACGACCCCACACCGGCAGGGGTCAAACCCGCGACCTTCAGGTTCCGCGGACAGCGCGTTGCCATTGAGCCACTGGGTCAGAACCCGATGCTCCATATTTCCAACTTCTGTTAGCTCACGATATAGCGCAACCGCTACCCAATGTCATCGATGAGTATCTGTCCTCACGACCATCAGGCTTTGACTCCACCGGTCACGACTTCTAATTGGAACTTCGGGAATACTTCTCGAAGCTAGTCACCAATGAGCACCAATGAACTAACAGAAGTTGGAAATATGGAGCATCGGGTTCTGACCCAGTGGCTCAATGGCAACGCGCTGGCCGCGGAACCTGAGGGTCGCGGGTTCGATCCCTGCTGGTGTGGGTCGTGGGTGCGCACTGCTGAGGAGTCCCATACTAGGACGAAACAGCTGTCCAGTGCTCCTGGGTTTCCTTTGTTCCTCCAACTGATGTCAGTCTACGATGAATAACAACTTGAAATATTTCAAAATCTCCACAACTCCCTCAAAACTTTACTATTTAGCCACTCAATCGGAAATCAACTCTCCACATTTTTAAAGCCTGTTGATTGATGATATACTGCAAATATTATCCAATGCGATCAATGAGTAATTGTCTTAACATCAGACTTTGTTAACCCTACAGGTCACGGCCTCTTATGAGAACTTCAGGAACTCCATCTAGAAGCATATCACGGATGAGCACTAGAAAGTAATTCAGTCTCAACTCAAAGGTTCTACATTCCACCTTGGGTTGAATTGTTGATGAATACTGGTGAGGAGTCCCTAACTATGACGAATCAGCTATTCACTGCTCCCAGATTTCCACTTTATGTCGGTCCGTAACTAACACCACCATGAAACATAGTATAAAATTGACCAAATCTGATAACTTATCATTTTCTAAATTAGTCTACAAACTCCATATATCTCATAGCACTTTGAAAGTTATAGAACAGTTAACTGTTACAGAAATATAATTGGTTTCTGATTTAAGGAAACAAGACGTTGGTGTGATATAGAGCCGAGAAGGATGTCCCTCCCTACTTTGAGACAGCAGTTGGTCACAGCATACCTTAATGGAAATAAGTCCAACAGCTGGCTACCTATTGAATTCTACAGCTCAGCTAACGGAGTGCTATAATCAACTTTGTCTACCATCAGTGCTGCCTTCCAACATAAGGTCTCATCATAGTTTGAGAAATGTGGTTGAAATATTCTGTCTAATATGACAAAGTGAACTGTTATTCTCGTTATGTTTACGTATCCATTGTAAATCAGCCATGCTGAACACCTAGAACTACTAGGTTTTGTATTAGTTCTTAGACAACGAATGCTTTATCCATTTGCTTCTGTTGATATAAATGAATAAGCTGAGCAGAGCAGGTCGGTCGCGTTTTGTTGAAGTGTGTTTTCGTCCCATTCAGGACTCATCATTTGGGTAAATATCTTTCTCATTGGAAGTATTTGCAATGAGTGCTTATTTTCAAGTGAATAGTAGTTGAGAATTGATGGGCTACAGAAAGTTATTTATTCCCTATATGGAATATTCAAACGGTTTTACAGTCATCTCTCTTCAGCACCATACGTGAAGATGAAACAATTAACCCATTTAGAGGTAGACTTGTATTGAAATGAGAAAAGGCCGATTGAATTAATCAAAAGGAAAGCTATTGCTTCCTAGTCTTTTTATCGTTTACTGAGATACGAGATTCTCAGGAGATTGAGTCTACCCTATCCAGTTTTAAAACATAAGCTAAATCCGTTGGACTTTGATTTTAATCCACCAATCAGAAGTCAGGCTTATCTGATTGGTCACTTAGTGACCTTCAGTTACTTTTGTTCAACCACTGAAGGATATCTAGAATATTTATTTTGGTATAGAAATAGTAAACGCTTGAACTTATTTAACAGTATCTTTAAAAGTCAGCTATTCTGTCTGCAGAGTTGAAATTAATAAATTGGTTTTCGCTGGCAATTATCACGCCAGCAAGTTGCATTGATAAAGTGGTTAGAAAAATGATGTACTTTTGTCCCATGGATATGGAACTTATCTCTTCTAAAAATCAATCGATTCTACCCTAGACCTATAAGTTTCTATAGATGATGTTCTCTGTGGCAACCTTTCATTGAAATCATTCAAGTTAACATTGGAAATCTTATCACAAAGAATATATTTGTTGTTGATAGTGATTGATAAGCAGAAATTGTGGGGAAAAAACAACAAGTTTCATGATAAATTGGTCGGTTGTGGCTAGCAGAAGAATCCAGGATGCGCGTTTCTTCCTATTTGGGACTCGTCAGCTGGATGTACCTGCAGCCCAGTGATGTTGTTCGAGGTCGAACAATTCGATCTAAAAAAAACAACGGAGAATAACAAGTATGTCAATTAATAGTAATAACTACTACCCGTCGTACAAGAAGTGCCTTTCGTTCCTCCATGACATAGCGGATAACGCCTTGGCGTTTGGAACGATGGGTACGACGTTCGAGTCCCGGTGGGGACAACACCACTGGGGTGCAGGTACACCCGGCTGATGAGTCCCAAATAGGGCGAGACGTGCGTCCTGGATGCTTTTGCTAGCCACAACCAACGGATTTGTCATGACCAACATTCAGGCAATACCGAGGCATCCGCATAGGTGCCAATATGCCGATAGAGGTTGAATAGTTCGATCCAACAAAACAATGAAAGTATGTCAATAAATAAGAATAACAATCTTTAGTCAAAATGTCGAAGGAATTGACATAATTGATTGCTAGACTTCATTCACTTCACACAGAAACATCCATCCATAGTTGTATCATCTTCTCACTTAGTATGATAGTTTGCGATTTTCCAGGCAGACAATTTACGTAGAAATTAATTAAAACATATAATGTTTACTCAAGTCATGAGATGTACATGGGTGTGTACGAATTTTCCCACTGGTCGTTCCTGTTTTTTAAATTCCTATAGTAATCTGATTGGTTATCTTCAGACTACTGCTGAATCCATGCTACTGTAAAACTAAATGTGTATTGTGGAAGATAGATAGGTATTTTAGATATTTTATTCCTTATTCACCTACTCCTGCTGTAAACAAAGGATATCGTATGTCCTAAAAGATATATGACTCAAAGATATGAGCAGATAGGACTGACTATAGTCAGTGATCAGCAGATTGACCACAATAATCACAGAGATCATTCCTTCTGGGCCTAGCACAGTTACATTCCACGCAAATCTCTTAAATCTGCCTAGTTAATTTGAATGGACTTTTAAGTTCCTGAATGATATGTCCAGTTGTCGTATATAAGATATTACTTATAAACTAATAAAGTAGTGCGAAGACATTTCAATAAATTCTATTCTTACTTCAGAACTATCATCTTCATAGGAGTGGGGATTTCTTACAGTTGAAATCATTTAGTTAGTATTTTTTTATCGATGTAGACAACTGTTTGTTAGACAGCACATATGTCAGCCAAACTTGGGGTTCTCCAATGTGTCCTCAGTTCACATGGTATGGGACGTCATTGAGCTATGATAACTGTGAAAACTAAAGCTTCATCTTGTAAGTCATCTACAAACTGTACAATTAGTTTGTACTAATTCATCAGTCTTTTGACCTAAAAATGCGTGCTTAAGGTACCCCCGAGTCAGCCTGAACAATCTAATTACTGCAAGGAACGGTCACTTTTAAAGTAACTCAACTTATTTCAAAGTGAGCGTTAAAACAGTCTAAAATACTTTAAAGTAGAAGAGATTTGGACAATCGGTTTATCGAGTATTTTCCAATTACTCAGTTTGTATTCCAGTCACCTGAATGAGTTTGACGTTTCAAGTCAGCCAGCCAAGTAATCGAACAATCTAGCAGTTGTCTGAGCAGAAACTCTGACAAGTCTGGTTAAAATACGTGAAACGGCCATCCGGTGTTTAGATCATCGTGATCTGACCGGTGACACCTCTAGATCAATATGAGTTGGTCTCTGAATACTCATGTTTTTTGGTAGTATATGCCGCAGAAGTGATTTATCTGAAGTTTCTCAATTTCATTTACTACGATGACTGTCTGTTCTCCCATTTCACAGGTCAGAGAGCTTCCATTCGAAGGCAGCTTTTCTTCTTATATGACTGTTGACGATTATTCTATGCATTTCGATTCCTAAAGCTCGAAGAAGAAGTACAAACAGGGTAGCTGTGCAGCTAGAAGAACTATGCAAAACAATTCAGTGTTAGTCATAGTTATCTGTTAAATGCCTTTCCAGAATCATGTTTTCGATACGTTTCAATGAAATGACCACTCTGATATTGACATGTGTGATCATGTGGCTTTCCTTAAAGCCTCAGAGTGCACAGATTCGTTTTGGAAGTCCTCAGGGATTGGAAGACTTCTCCAACTAATACTACATCTTATAGTAATTAACATTTCAGTAAACCGTTTATAAAATACGAAGTTGAATGTTACTTTTTTGAGTGGATATATTGGATGTAAAGGAATTTAATGATAAGAGTAAATTGTTGACCACTGACAATTATCTTCAGTCGATCTAATGAAAACTGAGTGGCTTAAGTGTGTCGGACGTGACAGATTGAAGCTCACTAACTGGCAGTAGGTTAGGCAGCGCCATCTTCAAAGCAGTCATGAGCACAAAGCAAGCAGATCAGTTAACAGGTGATCCATGAATGATTTAGTCAACTGTAACTCAGCAAAAGGCATTGGTTTTGATAACTATTTATCATGTGGATGCAAAGTCCACAATCACCTGAATCTGTTGCTTACGATGCTCGACTGAATTACGAAGAGTGTTAACCAGTAGATGCATCGGTTGCCATATGATTATCAGTGTAGCTGTTAAATTCTATGTGATGAGTGATGTAGCTACTAAGATAAATGACATAACATTGCCATGCGACATTCTGTAAGCAATATTTGCACATAAATCTGTCATACAGGGGGTCAGTAATGCTACGAATGGCAGTGAAATACAGTCTCTTAGTTCAATACTTATCTAAAAACACTTAAAAAGATTGGTATATCGCACACCAGCCCACTCTGTCATATTGTCCATTTGTCGAAGGTAGTAGCTGAAAGTGGACGGTAAAACAAGGCTACAGGTTTTCGATCATAAATCCCTTCATGGCATTGCTTGCATGCCCTGGAATCATAATATGAGTAGTTTGAAGGTTAGACTAAAAGTTCTACACAAGGAAGTTACTTAAGTCAGTAAAATTGTGCACTCTTACTGAAAAAGGTAGCTTAGATAGGTGTTGTGCATGCCAGTGTTAGCGAAAGTAAAACTAGGTTGAAGGAAGATTAAAGGTGGCCTGATAAATAAAAAGGCTACAGTCCGTGAAGTGTGTGATTATTGGTATGAACTACGTACAGTAACGTACACCGCCTGACTGGCGTCCTTGAGAAGAGAGAAATTACTGGTTGCAGACCCTTGGTAAGATGGTCGAGGATCACTTATAATGATGCCAATGTATACATTCTTTGCCATCTTCGAAGTCCTGAATATTCTCATTAACATTCATCCTATTGTACTCTCTCCTATCAGACAGTTTCGTCTTCTTCACTACCACTTTTTTCTATCCAGTTCTTGTCTGAATTCTTCATTAAAGTGTGATTACTTGAAATGATCCACATGTATGAAAGACTGTCAGTTGACTTGTGTGTCTGTCTGTCTAAAATAGTTATTCTCTCATGGTTACATATACGTCTGATTGATGAATGAAGATAGGCACGAAACCTTAGTTGAGCAGGGAAGCCTCCTCGATTCTGCCGAATTATTCAATCAGGTATCTATACATAAAGTCATATGACCATCTGGAAATTCCTGTCCAGCTTTGATTGGTTCTGAAGCCAATTTGTGATTTGTTACTTCTTTGCGAACTTACAGGATAGACAATCAGCATTGTAGCACAAAACATCTGCCAAAGAACACTTCAGCTGTAATATAGAATGATGTCACTAAATTCATTGTTTATGTTCACCATCATGTGAATTTACTCATGTCTCAAGTTTACGGGGTTGTCGATACTCTGACAATAACAGCCATTCAGATAACCACGACTTGTTACCTTCACTGACAGTATAAAAACTAGAATGAATGATTAGTTGACTACCAAGTGCATTCACAACTGAACATTTAACATTTGTTTATAACAGATTGTAGTTAATTTCAAGTCTGTCTCCACAACTGTCATGCTTGAATGACTTCATCACGTGTGTGTATTCCGTTCCAAGGTCGCATATCTGATAAAACGATATCATTGAACGAATTCAAATCTTGTTATGCTTGTAAATTGAGGTAAGTACTAGCGTCATTTTGATGAGGCTTTTGTTGCTAATCTGTATTTTCTGTTATCTCATTAATTTATCAAGTCATAATAAATATTGGCATGCCAGACTATTGTTTACTGAGTGAAATCTACCGACAAATCTGATTAGAGTAAGTATTATGGCTTAGACACAGGTTTCGTGACTTCTGAAACAACTAAAGAGAATGCCTTTCTTCATATAAGATGCTTACTTTAGCAAGCACACAAACGAAATGTTTCAAGCACTTGCCCTGTTTATGCCCCTCGGAGTCAAACAAGACGAAAACTATAATATCAGAGGTTATTCAGTGTTCGATTAAAATGACTGCAGCTATTTCCCTACATAAAGTGAAGTGTCTGTTAATAACCATATCAGTTGATAGGGTTAGAGATACAACGCAATCGTTGTTGACCCCCTTCAAAGTCACACGTTTCTTATAAGTACTGATATATATATATATATATATATATATGTATATATATATATATATATATATATATATATATATATATATATATATGTTCAGCGCTCGCTTTTGATAGTGACTTTAAAGGCTACCCTGGCAACTCTTAAGACAACTGATCACAATTCGCTATTTTATCAAAATCTAACATCCTAGCTGAAATACTGAAACCTGACTGGTTGTACCAACAGTTGCTAGGATGCCGTTTAAAGTGACCCGTTTTTGACAGCAATAGTGAGAATGGTGTCTGAGAAGGAGATATCTACAAATTTGAACAGAATTTTATGCATATTCAACCTAATACAGATAGATAGAAATGTTTTCACTATCCACAGGTATTTATTTGTGAGGTTCATGGATAATTAATGTATCTCAATGCAGTTTAAGCTCTGAGCAAACACTAGCTTGATTGAAATGATCGAGTGAATAATAAGACACCAACGATTCCAACCCAGTCAGACACTTGAACTGGATACTAATGGTGACTGTTCTCCGTCAGCACTTTAAACTTCACTGGGCCATGAAAATATCAGAAGGCAATCAATGACCTTTAACTATAAGCAAGACACTTTGTACGACAATAATGTATCATTCATATGTAGATTTTATGATCATATAAAAACCACTAGGTCAAAAGTTAAATCTGATTATATAGAAAAGTCTTAACTCATTCTATCAGATAGGAACAAATTTTCAAAACACACAGTTCAGAAAGACTCTACCGATGAAATAGAGGGTCAATTGTCCAACAGATTGAATAAGAGGAAAGGTGAAGTATTGATTATCACTGAACTCTACAAATAACTCTGTCCACCAGGTTTCTGAATCCCTTGACTATATGGCTCAGCCGAAGTGCACAAAGAAGGTATTCCCTTTCATCCGATACTATACATGACCAATTCTCCATACCATTCAGTTGTAAAATGGTTCATGACGATACTGGATCTAGTGAATAGTGAAATTTTGAAACAGCCTGCATGACACATTTCACTTTGTTGAATCAATCAAAAATGTCAATTTGTCAAGAAAGAAAATGCTTCCTCTGGATATCATCTATCTATTCACAAGTTTATCAATAACGGAAATCATTTATTTTCTATTTAGCTACATTCAATCCCATAAATAAAAAGTCGGCATCTCGAATCATTATCTAAAGAAACTTCTTCTCAGATGTACTTTCAGCGTTCCCTTCAGATCTAACAACGAAAATTCCATTTTAGCTGATTCATTAAATGTATCGCACAGTGGAACAGTATTCATCACTGCATCACGTTCCAAACACAACTCATTGTCCATAGTCATATCAAAATAACTACACAACTTTACAACATCCTTCACATAGTTCCAATTTTCTCGTCTACTTTGTGATATCGGAGGTAGAATTTTCCATATATCCAGAACAAGTACTCATTCATTTCTGTTGCATGTATTCGATGTTGATTCGATAAACAAAGATTCGGTTATCAATCTCTCCCTCCACCCTGCTGTGTTAATTGTTAAGGGTTACCACCCTGTCCCATCCCATTGTGTGGTTGTGTGTAATTGCATGCATAACTGTGAGTTGAGCTTCTTTCTACATTCTTTATCTTTCTAGGATCTAGCAATTTTACTCAGGTAGGTTTTTGTGTTTGAATAGCCTAATTGACTCTGGTCGACTAATTTGACCTATGTGCCTGACATCACGATCAGATTCAAACAGGGCGAAGAAACTTATTGGTAAAACAAAAGACCTGTGACAAAAAAGCAGATACATTAAATACAACTTACTCATCGATAATTGTTCTTCTCAATGATTTATTAAATAAATTCCTAAGAGGTCGTATCAATAAAAAAAAATATTGACAATAATGTGAAGAGAGAATTCAAAACCTTTACCATGCAAAGAAGTCACTTGAGAAACATTAGTATCCCAAATGGTTGTTTAAAGGAACTTCTCAGATGTACTTGAAATGGAATTACAGATCTCAGTACATTAGCCTAGGCACTATTTCTACTGAGTTTAAATACCTCAATCCAAAGGTAGGTTGGCCTTAATGAATGGATGACAAGAGGATGTACTGAGTGATTCATCGACAGGAATGTAGTTTTGTTGAATTCTAAGCACAAAATTTATACCTGCTAGTAATCTGTTGTCGGTGATAAGTAACCTCTTCATATGTATACTGCCACCAGTGTTGATGATCCCTCTGATGCATTATTACATCACAAGTCGGTGGTGTCGAATTACTACATTATCAGCTACCGTCAGCTACTGACTTCATAGATCATCACTTGAATGATCATGCCTGCTGAATCATGCCGAGTTTTCTATAATCACACTGCTACTAAGATATCTAAACAAATACACTGATAGACGAATAGAAGAGAAACTTGTTCGATAACTAAACAAATAAAAACTTACCTCCCAGTCTTTCGAAACCAAGCAGCACCAAAGCAATGACAAATACTTAACGATAGTGTTGACAGAAGTAGGAAGACGTAAACCATTAGATTCTGACGCAGTAACTCAGTGGTGATATGCTCATTGCAAAACCTGGGGGTCCTAGGTTCGAACCCCTCGGGGTCATGGGTGCACATGGCCGAACAGTCATATACTTGGAAAAGACAGCTGTCCAATGACCCTAGGTTTTCCAGTCAGTCTATAATGGATGCCACTTTGATATCAATAAATCCTCACAAACGTCCAAAATGAACAAAACAGTTTCCACGATTGATGTTTGTGAACTAAATCATCAACATTGATTTCAATTCTCCTCAAAAATTCAAATTTTAATCAACCCGTTTAACGAATAACTACTAATTATTTTTTTGGAAGAAAAATCACTGTAAACTACTGGTTACAGTTCTGATCACGCTCCTGTGAATGACATATATATTGGACAAAAGCGTATAGAGTGTATAATAACACAGTGTTTATTTTTGATTGGTCTGTTTTTTTCGAGTGATCGCTTCCCTACCACCCTCCAATATCGTTTAAATGAAGGACAGTTACCAATCGATAATTACCTAATTTTCTTAACATCCTTCACCCTATGTATATTACATGTAATATCGAAAAATAACTACGTAGCAAAAGAAAAAGCAGGTATCTTTCATTGTTTTGCCAAAAATTTGTCTTTACCGCTATTTTTCTGTTTACAATTAAAACATAGTTTGATGTTATTGATAGACAGCGTCTAGCAGTGGAATTTATAACATGCGTCTCGTCCCGTTTAGGACTCGTCAGCTGGGTGCACCTGCTTCTCACTGAGTGATGTTGTCCGTACTGTGACTCTGGGCCAGGACCAGTCACTTTAAACGCCAGAACGTCATCCACTGAGCCACTAAGTCAGAAGAGACCCCCCTTGTGTGATGGACAAAGTATAGCCTTGATGCAATAGCTTGCGAATCTCCGTCGTTGATGCGGTTGCACTGATCGACCACCACTGGCAAATGGATTCCTGCGCGGATGCCACAATATTGCAAGCATTTTCAGTTTTGGTATTACTACACCCATCGCACAATGAATGGCTATCCTGACCCAGTAGCCTATTGCGTAACACTGTGGAGTTTGAAGTAACTGGTCACGGCTTTGAGTCTTAGTGGAGACAACTTCACTCCCTGGAAAGTAAGTGCATCCAACTCACGAGTTCCAAATTGAATGAGACGCTCACTCATGATTCCGCTGTTAGCCAATATCCATCATTGATACTGAAACTAAAAATACTGGCAATGTAGAGGCACCCGTGCAGGAGACCGTATTTTAATAGCAGCCAATTCACAAGCTATGACACCAAAAATCAAAGTGAGGAATGTTTAAGAACGACTGAAATTAGATTAGAAATAAGGACAGGCGGTTACGTAATCATGCAAACGATATTATTTTGGCAAAATGATAAATGGATAAGATAAGATTATCACCAGGGTAATAAATATGGTAATAACAAAATGACAGCCAATATGAATAAAGATGGGATTAGGCACAAAACAAAAGCATTAAAAATATTTTTGGAGAGGTGAGAAGATGAAAAATCACTAATTCAAGTTGAACTCATCGAATATCCTCGGGTTCGGTACTCTGAAATTAGAGTCAAGTCTTTTGTCTATCGACTACTGTGATGGATTTTTTGGCGTCTACTTGACGCCACGTATCGTATAAGTGACGAGTTATTGGACTGCTGAATGAGTACGAATCTTTCAGATGTCAACTGTTTGGCATGTGCTCAGTAATCTTAGTAGGCAACCACCTCTCCGTTTTCCCTATGTACTTGCTTCCTTTTCGAAAATCTTACCCCCCTCCCCGCCTGCCTTTTTCTTTTCGCTTTGCTTTTGCGGTGTTTCTGCAAGAAATTTATCGCATGAGCATTACTGTGTAGATGTCGTTCAATTGGTTGAAATTTCTACATTCTGAAGGAAACTGTTGGCAGCCTTCAACGGCTCTGGTAGTCGATTTTTTAAACTCTTTACCTAAGTATTTATATCATCATTGAGCTCTGCTCATAACGTTTTATCTTCTGATTGTTGCAGGCTTCAATGATTGATGAGTCACTTACTCTCTTCTTAAATCCTACTATCTCCCTTCCTTTGCTATCCCCCTTAGATTCACTTCAATTTGGTGGTGTTAAGATGTTGTCCATTGACTTCAACACAACTTTCAACTAATGGACGCAAATTTAAATTCAGCTCCGCTTACTTCCGCTTGTGAAACGCATGAGGCAATAGGTGTGTCTTACATCTTAGTACATAAACAGATGTTCCATTATGAGTTATTTGTATTATACATGATACTTGTTCCATGAAAACCTTCCCATAAAACGGTTCAAATTTTTGATAGTATACTATGACAGACCTTCATTGCTTTTCTAGCCGACTGAGTACCAATGAAGTAATAAACTGGATCCACATGATTTTGTTTGAATGTTTATTTGTGCTTTTTCGAAACTAATCGACCTGTGTCTTATGCAAGTTCTCTTCCGTTTGAACTGGGCATCAGAAGACTTTTGCTAGATAGATAATGTAATGAAGAGCGGACAACTAAGTTTCGCTCAGCAGAGCTACCGGTCAGCGTAGTAGGAATTTTTTGATAAGTATATTTGTAAGTTGTGTTGATAAACTGTTAAGTCGGTGACCTGGAAATTGATGACTCAACTCCTACGTAACGTAGACTAGATTTAGTCTTTTCTTCAGCCATCATCATTGGGCTTAGAAACAACTTTTGTTTTCGTAAATTTGGTGACCCAGTAGCCGGGTATATGTAGCTCTTGAAAATCGATGGCGTATTTGGTAGGCGATGGAGGTTATTTATAGCTATCGACCAGAGAAATTCTTGAATTCCTGTAGTCGACTATAAGGCGAGAATTAATACCGTCCTGTTCAGTCAGATGTATTGCATGAATTCCAACGACTAGTTGTGTACCATGACTTGTAAACTGCTTAACTTCAGTTATTTTCACTTATCGGAAGCAGTCACTATATGATGGCTTTCTTCAGTGCACATCAGCAACCTCAGTGGAAGTCAGAACGGATGTTTGACTCCGACCCTGCCCGTTGGTATCAACGCTACGGATTATCATAGTATGGTAACATCTATGAATTCGTAAATATGTCAGCAATGGGATAAGCACTTGTGATTTACCTTGACAACTGTGTCAATGAGAAGTGACTGAGATAAATTTAGGTGTAATAACATAAAGGTGAGTAGTTTTTACAGGTCAAATGGTAATCCAGAGGATGGAAATGGATATTCAAGATTGTTGACATAGGGATGAGAACTGAATCGATTGAGCGAATAGCTTGAAGCGCCTCATTGGTCAGACGGAACTGTACCAGCGCTATATGGACGATGTATTCATTGTATGCAATAGTAAAACGGAGACAGAAGCACCACTGAAGAGCTTCAGTTCATGTCACCCAAACCTGACTTTTACGATCGAGCATGAGGAAAATAATATGATTAGTTTCTTAGATGTTTCATTAGTGAAAAGAATCGATGGATCTATAGAAAGGTCCATTTATAGGAAACCTTCTTGGACAGGACAATACCTTCATTTTAGGAGCTTTGTTCCGATCCAATACAAAGTGAATGTAATTAGAACACTGTGTAACAGAGCCAGAAAAATTTGTTCCGACAGCACACTAGACTACGAAATAGGGACTTTGAAAAGCGTGTTGGTGAAGAATGGGTACCCAGAAAGTTTTTTCAACAAGCACGCGAAGTGGGTAGGGAGCAGAACAACGGCCCCAACAGTGCAGAAGAAACCAGCCTACGTCACCTCGCCATTCAAAGGTGACGACGTGCTAGATGTAGTTAGACGAAGACTGGAGAAGTCTATCAGAAGGAGTTACTACGCAGCTAAACTGGTTCTTCTTAGCACCACCAGAAGGGTATTACAGCAATCAGGGAAAGACAGAACTCCGATCCTCGACATATCTAAATGCATATAACAACTCGAATGTACCTGCGGAAGCACATACACTGGTCGTACGGAGAGGCGTCTGTCCACCCGAATGGTTGAGCACATACCTAAATGGTTGAAGCATGCCGAAAAGAAGACCCCGAGGAGCTCGATAACGAAGCACCTAATGGACTATGGACATGATATTGATACCTATAGGTCCTTTAAAGTCATCAGTAGACAGCAAAATAAGAAGTTGCTTGGATATGTAGAAGCCTGTACGATTCGAGTCGTCAAACCAAACCTTTGCATTCAGAAGGAAATGGTAGTCAGTCTGAATCTGCCATGGTAATAATTACAACACTGTCTAATCATATTTAATCTTTCTTATTTTACTCTTCACTATTAATTATCACTCATCTCATATATTTTGTTTTCCTTCCCTGATTTGTTTCGTCTAATTAACCTTAGTCCTATTGTCAATGTTATCATTATTATTCATCTCAATATACACCTTGTTTTCTTATTGTCTGCATAAGTACTATTAACTATCTTGTTTTCAATGACGTGATCGACGCTCCATCGATTCAGTTCTCATCCCTATGTCAACAATCTTGAATATTTAAACAGCGTAATGAGAAGACGAAGATTATCTGAAACATGTGGTGTATTAGCGCTATACATTTCGAATAATCTGATCACACATGGACTTGTCGAACTATTTATATGAAAATTTACGAAAAGGTCAATGAACATGTACCTAAGTGGCTACAAAATCAAATGACCTCAACAGATCCGATAAGTGCAGGTGACAAACATCCATCTTCGTCTATCGCTTAACATATACTAGAAACTAACCATAGGATAGACATGAAAACAGCCCTGAAAGTACTACATAAAAGTGGTCAGAGTCGAGTGCTTAAATTTATTGAAGCTCTTGCCATCTGTAAATGTAAACCCCCTTTATGTATTCAAAAGCAATTCGTACTCACGTTGAACCTACTTTGGTAGTATTGATTTTAATTTTCATACCAAGAGTAAGGTTTTCCTTTTTTTCTATCCCTTCCTATTCCCATGTTTCCTATTAACTTCATTGACCTTTTCGTAAATTTTCATATAAATACCATATTAGATTTGTTTATTTGATATGTGATATTTGATATGTGGCGCACAGTGATACAGTATTATTTACTTGATTACGTTTCGAGCATAAATTATTGCTCATAATCATATCAATGTAATCACACTTCTTTCGATATCTGATTTTATAATCCTGTCACCTGATCTCTCTTTGTTTTTTTGTTTTTTGATTGGTAGTAAAGTTTTCCATATCTCTGGTATTGGTGTTGCGTCATTCCTATTACATGTGTTGGGTGTGGATTCGATGAACAAAGATTCAGTAATTAATCTCTCTCTCCACCTAGCTGTATTAGACTTAAGTACAGTGGTTTTATCCCACCCTATTGTGTGGTTGTGTGTTGATGAATGTAATGCAATGGCCTAGTGTTTTTCTAGATTATTGATCTATCTGTCGTTCTATGTTTAGCTAAATTCTTATGTTCTGTTAATCTAACTGACCCCGACCGGCTAGTTTGACCTATGTATTTGACCTCACAGTCATTACATGGAATTTGGTAGATTATATTATGTTGCTTAATTGGTTCTATCGGATCTTTTAGCAGACAAAGCTTACCTCTAAGTGAGTTTGTTGGTTTAAATGCCACCTTAATTCCAACCTTGTTGAGAATCCTACGTATGGTTTCTGATGTTCCTTCCTTGTATGGTATCACAATGGAAGTGTTGATTTCCTTTCTACTCATGTTGTCACTATTATTTATATTTGTATTAGTGTTATTATTTTGCTTCTTATGTGTCCGTGTGATTTTCTTAATAAAATGACATTTATGTGTTTCAATTCCTTTTTTAAGTCCTTACAATGACTAGTGAGTTTCTCAGCTCTGTTATCTGTGCGCTTTATATCAAATAAACAAATCTAATATGGAATTACATTCGATCACAGTGCCCAAGTTTTTCACTTATATTTCATATAAATAGTTCGACAAGTCCATGTGTGATCAGATTGTTCGAAATGTATAGCGCTAATACATCACATGTTTCAGATAATCTTCGTCTTCTCATTACGCTGTTGAAATTTATCAAAGGGACCAGTTGCTTTAAATCTTGAATATCCATTCCCATCCTCTGGATTATCATTTGACCTGTAAAAACTATTCACTTCTATGTTGTTACAGCTAAATTTGTCTCAGTCTACGTTATATATGTATGTATGTATGCTCTTTTCCATTGCTTAACGGTATATAATATAATCAAGTATGTAGAGTATTCAGCTGACGAGTACTACTGAAATTTATGAGTTCATTAAATCCTGCTTTTTTCACACTTGTTGCTTGTTTTAGAAACTAGATACATAAGAAACACCTTACTCAGCAGTAATTACCCTCATAAATTATTGAATAAATTCCTTAGAAATCGTAGCAATGATAAAGATATTGGGGATACGATGGAGAGAAAATTCAAAAACTCTATAGTATTACCATACAAAGAAGGTACCTCAGAAACACCACGTAGGATTCTCGAGAAGGCTGGCTAGGATCAAAAGGGATGACTTTAGAACTTATGAGCTCACTTAAAAATAAGCTTTGTAGGTTAGAAGATCCTATTGATCCAATTAAGTAAACAAATTAGTGTTTATCAAATTCCTTGCAATGATTGGGAGGTCAAAGCAGTTGACCAGGGTCAATTAGGCTATCTAAACACAACAACCTACCTGAGTAAAATTGCTAGATCCTAGAAAGATAAGGAATGTAGAAAGAAGCTCAACTCACAGTTATGCATGCAATTACACACAACCACACAATGGGATGGGACAGGGTGGTAACCCTTAACAACTAACACAGCAGGGCGGAGGGAGAGATTGATAACCGAATCTTTGTTTATCTAATACATGCAACAGAAATGAATGAGTACTTGTTCTGGATATATGGAAAATTCTACCTCCGATATCACAAAGTAGACGAGAAAATTGGAACTATGTGAAGGATGTTGTAAAGTTGTGTAGTTATTTTGATGACTATGGACAATGAGTTGTGTTTGGAACGTGATGCAGTGATGAATACTGTTCCACTATGTCATACATCTAATAAATTAACTAAAATGAAATTATTTTCTACCATAGTGCTCAAGACTTACTCTTATATAAATGGGGTTGATCTCTTCAAATCTTGCAAATGATTGGACAAAATGTACCCGCTTCGAAAGTGCTGCATTATGTTTGTTTGTTCCATATATGCTGTACAACTGGATTTACTATGAGTGATGATAATAACCAGTCAAAGGTGAACAACCCAAGGCTCATAAACTATCATTTTTACTCGTCCATAAATTGACCAATTCATTCATCTTCCTTTAGAGCATATACATGTTCGGTATGGATACTAACAAGTGTGCAATGGAAAGAAACACCCACCCTTCCTTTTTGTCTCAGTTTTCCCTATATCTCAGCGACTAGATTGATGCCAAACACAGTAATAGTGAACATCATCCTGGTGTCTGCGGCAATCACTTTTATGTCATTAATCTACTGTCGACCAAAGAATTATTTAAGTCAAAGAAATCAGAAGACAGAGAAGTGAGAATCAAATTTTACTCGTTTAATAAATTACCGTTGATCGGGATACTGGCTCACATGCAAATTCTTCATTGGACAAACAACTGTCAGGTCAATCAGATGACACTTGACGCTACTACTGACATTTATACTGTCTGGAAACTTGTAGGGAGTAGGTGTTGAGACTAGTGATTCTAACTTGTTGCTGCATCATGTCTATTCCTTCTGAAAAAAAACAACAATCCATATACCTTATTCATTTCGATACCTTGGATTTTCGTCATCTTATACGCGTGATACATTCACAGTTAGAGCCTCAGTGGGGACAACATTTCTCACCGGGAGGCAGGTGCATCCAGTTGACTAGTCCTGAGTAGGACGAAACGCACGTCCTGGATTCCACTGCTCATACGTGATATATTCTTACCCAAAAGCTTTCGTCCCTTCAGTCATTCCTCTATATAAGCATGAAAGGAAGGCATATGCTATATATGAACAATAGCTAAATAATAGGCTTTAGCGATTTGACGCATTTATTGATTTTTCAAAAATTCCGCTTCCTTGAGGTGTTTCGATGCAGTTTTAGAAAATTGTAAAAAAATAATAATACGCTTCAGTGTTTCGTTGTATTGAAATGTATTCACCTATATGATCACTCAGAAGGCTGGCTGTTAAGAATGTCGTTAAAAATCAATAACGTATACACCATAACATGTCACCATTGTACCATTGAATTCTAAGGTTATAAGTAAGCTTGGCAACAGTTCAAAACCTCTCTGTTGGTTTCTCAGTACTTGAATAATAACTGAACTCTAAATTTTGACATCTTGGTTTGCATTAAAATCAAGTTTTTTGAACTAAGTCAATATGATCACGACTCATTCGTATTCAAATTATCAACATATGACTTAGTAGGATCCATTTCAAAAATGAATCCCTACGTTCATTGAAAAATGAACTTTCCTGGTCTTCACATCACTTCATGCGGTCATACTTCTGTCATATCATGGTTACACCTATTCGTACTCTATCAAACTAACTGGGGATTTCTATATCAATCTATATCGATCACTAAACAAAGTGATGATTTGCAGAAATACATATATTCTCATCTCAAACCACATCAAGCAGAGATCGATCAATGATCAAATTGATTAGGAGAGCATTGATTGTTAAGTTTTAGCATTCTACCTGGGATGTTGTTGAATCGATTGTAGATGAATACTTCTCATTCATGCTGTCATTAGTCACTCAGAGGTCTTAAACATGAATCTAACGACTATCGTTTCTGTATAATATTGATTTGTAAATTTATCACATTTTTTCTCTCTAAGTTATTATTTCTTCCGATTATCAATAGTAATCAAGAAAACATTTTTAAAAAAACCATCTTGTTCTTGTTTATTTGTTCGTCTAGAAGACAAAACGGAACAGAAAAGCAGGCAAACATACATGGCATTTTATCACGCATAATTTAATCAATATTTCTGGTGAATCAAACTAAAATATCATGAAGAATGATGGAGAATATGTCAGTAAATGAGACAACTACACACAAACAAATAAGTAGAGGAATATTTCATCAAGAAGCACTTTGATATCAACATCATCATCATCAATAACAACAATAACAATAGTTATACTGCATTGTTTTGTACCAATAATCCAATTTTCTGAAAAGTATACTAATAAAAAACGGAAAAACAATTAAATAATAATGATAATAATCAATAAATGATGGGCAAATAGATAAAGAGAAGTTTGTAGAAGGGGTGAGGCAGATGGCGTAAAATTCATTTGTGCAGGGTACAATCAATCAAGATATAGGCAGCTGATATCATTTTATAACAACTACACAACTCTGTTGGATATATAGTATGAGACATAATTCTTCTTTTTTTTTGGCTTTCTTTTTCTTTGCATTTTATGTATATCTGATATTGTGTTTTGTTATAAATATTTGAAAATACCACTTAATATTTTGTTAAAATCAATGAAATCAAATAAAAGCGGTAGATTTGAAATAAAAATAAAACAATAACAAATGATGAATTAATGTTTTTTGGGAGAAGGAAAAAAAAATTACAGTAAAACATTAAGCGAAGTGTTTGAAATCATTCAGAAATGATAACAAGATTTATTAGAAAGAATCTGAAATCTATTAAATTTTAAATGTGATAAAAATCAATACATTAGAAGGTCATGTTCTTGGCTGAGATGGCAAAATGATAGATGTGTTGTAAGGATGTGCAATATTCTAATCAATATACATGATTTAAAAATATCGATTAGATTATAGTTCGATAGATTATATAGACTGAGCATGAAATAATAATTCATAGGAAATACTAACTTAGTGCAAGATAAACGCACATTACGAATAGATGTAAATAAAGAGAATAGAGTAGTCATCATGCTTAGCATAGGATGTACACACAACAAGCTTTATTAGGAAGAAAACAAGACTGTGGTGAAATATTAGCTTGTGAATATGTGTATGTGGGTAGGTAGGTCAAGCAGTCAAAACAGTAAATAAAATATTTAGTAGTTGAAAGACGTTAGTATAAGTTTCCACTCAAAGTTACAATCCACATTTGGTTAAAAACGGTGTATTAAACAATGGATGTTGGCATCGTAATTGATTCATCATAGATGACTATACTCACATCATATCAATCTCATATAGATGGTAAAGACATTCCAGTGGTAAGTTTATAGAAGGTATCTTCAGCAAGACATTGATTTTTCTCTGGTGCTCTTAAATTAAGAAATGTATAACCGCCAAGAAATTCAGCTACAGTACGAACTGATACATCTATAGGTCGAATAATAACACGACCAGAACATTCAGTTGACTTTCCAGTATGATGGTCAGATTTATTGCTGGCTTGTTGACCACTTAGCTGATGATACGACTGACTGGCTAACATCAACACTAGTTCACTTAACTCCCAGTTAATATGCCAACCTTGAATTGATGACATTCTCCAACTGGCTAAAATTTCACCATTGGTCAGATCACAACGATAAATCCTGGTTGCACCAATTCCAACAGCTTCTGCCTTCCGACTCATTGATACAGTCACATTCCCAGTATTCGACGGTCTGTTTATGCCAGGAATCCAACCAGTTGTCACAGCTGTACCATAATCAGAACGTAAGTAACTCTCAGAACCCAACAAGCTATTCAATGGGACGGTGACTTCAATACGTGCTGTGAAAAATGCGATCCCGTGCAACTTTAATTGCTCCCATGCATTTATATACTTCAGTTTAGCTTGTAAGCTAGTCAAATTATGTATCTGTGTATATGTAACCGAGACACGTTGAATTAAATTATTCCTTGTCTACAAAGATACAATAGAAAAAATCAATTATGTTTATTTGAAAATTGATTATATTCGGGTGTAAACAGATGAAACAAAAGTATTCGCATGCATGAAAAACAAAAGTGAATTTCTTTATCACCCAACTTTCTGAATGGTACACTGGTAGTGAACCCCAACCCAACCCCCAGTGAAGAGCTGAATTGTGAACGTTCATTTAAAAATCAACCAACCAGAATGCAGTTCAATTCGAAGGATTTGATAGGCTATTCAACCTCATTAAGAATATCGATTTATAGACAAACATTTTCCCCACTAATTAATTAATGTCTCTAGGTAAATTTAGAGGCGGTTTCTACGCTGACCTATCAATCGATGATTGATAATCAGTGTCATATTACCTAGTTCCAATTTGAAACCGATTCTCTTCTACAGTTTGTAATGTGGTCAACTAGCTCCAGACTCTGAATGAGTTATAGTTTCCTTAAGGCTTCAATTCAATCATTCTTCTTCACCTCACAGATACGCCTTGCTGATGAATACCACCAAACACCAAACCTGCGTCCCGAAATTTCAGCAAATTGCATCTACTTCACCCAGTTCGAACCACTACCCACATACACGGTGACGAATACTTCTGAAATCTGTCAACTAACAGAATTAGGCAGAGTCTATATGTTCTCGAAATGAGAGAGAATATTTGTAGCTTAGAGTCTGAGTGTACAGATTGAGCTCTTTTTTAAAGTGAAGTTTTAGTTAAAAGTCAATCAATGCAACGCTATGGCGTGATCATCAGTGAATCAGAACTTCTATTTCCTTATTTGAAAGACAAACTACTTTCTTCGATTTAAACTGAGTCCAAATTTAATTGGTTCTTTCTATAAAATCGATACAATCTTTACTTCATAATACAAAATGTTTCCCATTCACAAAAATGGTTAACAATAAGTTTAAGTGCTGAAGAAACGTTTTTTGGTATCTTGCTGTAGCACTGTCGATGAAAACTGCCATTCATATTTCAATTCTGTAGTTATGGTAACCGGGAGCATTTTCTAGCATGACTGTTTTTCACACCCAAGTTGTTATTTATCTCTTTATTTTGCCAACTTAACTTTTGGAACGAAAAAAGATGAGTAAAAGAAAGGAGTATTCCCGAAAAGGAAGTGGGCAAATCATCTCAGCACGTATATGTGGATTATTTCAAAAGTGTCATTTGGAAGCGATCGATTTTTCCTTAGTGATCCAATCAATTAGAAGTTAAATGTTATTGGTTGCTTTTACAACCAATGATATAAGGCTTATCATGTGACTGCGTGAGTTGTTTGTCAGAAAGTGAATATATTCTGGACTTCTGGAACACCAAATGTTTGATGAAAGTGAGGACTTCAATTTGGGGGGTTGTGGGGATTTAATGATTTCAAATTGGTATTCATCGTGAACTGAATTAATCCAGCGTTCATTGGTAACTAGCTGCAAGAGGTGATTCCTGAAGTCCCAATGAGGAGTCGTGACCGGTGGGGTGAACCTGGTGGATGTAAGCACAAATACTCAACGATGACATTGGGTGATGGTCATGCTGTCTTGAACTGATAGGATTTTGAACTATGGACCACCATATTCTGATCTAATGGCTGGCTGCGAAACCTGAGGGTCCTGGGTTCGATCGCTGGATGGCTGTGCTCATCATGGATGCGCACTGCTGAAGAGTCCCATACCGGGAGAAAACAGCCGTTCAGCGCTCCCGGATTTGAAATGTTCCTCAAACTGATGTCAACCCACGATGAATGCCAACTAGAAAGTGAGGATCAATCGGTCATTAGATGGTATGATAATGAAATTATAATTTACTGCTTGTTACAGATCACACAGTAGAGAGATCCAATACTTCAAGGCACCTGGTATAAAGGCTTTGTAATCATTTTCAGAAAGTGTTGAGTCGAGTTTCGTATATCTTATTAGGACTCCTCAGCAAGGTGAATCGCTTTAACCTCATAATAGTATATCTTACCGCCTAGGTGGTAGTGAAACCTCGCCTGGTTAACTAGTTCACTAGTTACTAACCGGTCCTAAAGCCCGAGCAAAGAGGAAAAGTTGGGCATGGGGCTAGCAACCCTAACCCATAAAACCAATCAAACCGCTAAGGAAACTTCAAAGCACAAACAAAATATAAAAAATAATAACAAAATTATTCCTCGCTGGAATCGGAGAGACGAAATGATGCCGGTTGGTGAAAGCCTTCACGAAGCCAATCGGCCGGGCCGATGTGTCTTCTCTCCCCCGATGAAAGCGAAAGTAAACGTGAGGATTTGCAATGTCCGCACCATGTCTAAACCTAGCAAGGCAGCCCAGATTGCAAAGAAGATGAGAAGGTAAAGCATTGAAGTGTTAGGAATCTGCGAAAGCAGATGGAATGGGAGTGGGCTCTAAAAACTGTCAACTGGAGAAGATATTGTCACCCAGACGACAACCACGAGCACACTGAGTTGTCGAGTGAAGTGGCTATCATGATGTCCCCCTCCCAAGAGCATCAAAGGCTCACTCTCATGCAGTGGGAACCAATCTCCTCCAGCATCAGGATCATGACAGCAAGACGGGTTCAACTCAAAATGAAGGAAGGAAGGTCACAATCATACAATGCTACGCTATGCACCTACAAATAATGCAGATGAAGAGAAAAAGGAGGAATTCTACAGACAACTGCAATCAACACTGGACAAGACCTCGCCGCAGTTGGCGATATCAAAATTCTAATGGATTAGGTGACACGAATGGCAAACCGGAAGCGGAAAACACAGGAGGAGAACTAATCATAGGTTGAGAAGCACTCGGTGAGGTGATGAACGAGAATGGAGAACTGTTTGCAGAATTCTGTGCATTCAGTGATTTGGTGATTGGAGGCCAGGTAGGCAGTGTGTCCAAGCACAAGGATATCCACAAAGCGAGTGACAATGGAGTTGATTTCACCAAATGCTAGGACACACTGAAAATCATATCAAATTCACCTCAATCTGAAGAAAGTGGAGACGCAGTTAGCCTACTTGACACAAGGTCAAGAAGAGGAGCAGATGTAGGTTCACACCACTACCTAGTGCAAGGAATCTGCCTTCACAATCAACTTGAAAGCCTTCACAGAAGTTGGTGATAGACCACAGCACAAGTTCAACACCCAGAACACAAAGTGAAGGACGAAACTACAAGGGACATCTTCACGGCAGCTATCAAGATAAAATGGAAGATAGCGAGCAACATCCCCGAAGATACCTGTGTGGATGAACACTAAAATTCTTGGAAAGCTATGTGGAAGGAAACCTGCATAACCGTATTAGGAAGGAAGAAGATTTAAGATAAGGAATGGATCTCGATGGATACATGGAAGCTGATAGAGGAGGGAGAGGAGGATGGTGAAGCAGAAGATAAACCAGTGCAGTGCAAGGATGCACAACGAGAAGAGGAACTGAGTATAATATGTAAAACACTGGAGAAAGAAGTGAAGAAGAGTGAGCGCAAAGACAAAAGACACTTCTACAACACATTGGCAAGTGAAGCAGAACAGGCTGCAGGTAAGAGAGACAGACAGAGACCTGACAACGTTGTATCAAATAACTAGGTTACCATCAGGGAGGGGAGAGATGAACATAGATGAAAGCAATAAAAGATGAGAAGGAAATTTAATTACGAAAGAAGAGAAATAAAGGAAACAATGGGCTGGCCGACCACTTGAAGAAGCTCTTGAATCGACCACCACCACCACCACCACCACCTGCACTTCGTCCAAAAATATCACCTGCATTCACAGAGCTACAAGTGAACATAAATCCTCCAACAAAGGTCGAAGTCCTGAGCTCCATAAGGCTACTGAAATGTGGGAAAGCAGCAGGACCAGATGGAATCCCTCCAGAAGCACTGAAAACAGACGCAGAGACAACAGTGGACATGCTCACACCATACCACTATTGCAGAAGATGTGGATGGAAGGGAAGGCACCTGCCGACTGATTGGAAGAAGGGTTACCTTGTCAAACTGCCGAAGAAGGACGACCTAAGTCTTTGCAAGAACTGGTGTGGAATCACACTCCTGTCCACCCAAAGCAAGCAAAATATTATGCCGCATCATCTTGGAGAGACTAAAGGATGCACTGGATTCAAAACTACCACCCGAACAGGCTGGCTGGTTGGATTCAGTTCAGGAAGTACAAATCATGTGTGGACCAAATTGCAACTCTAGGCTACGCATCGCATCGCATCATCATAGAACAGAGTATAGAATGTCAGTCAACTCTCTACCTCACCTCAACTTCATCGATGTTGAGAAGGCCTTCGACAGCGTCGAACGACAAGTAATTTGGTAGGCAGCTGCTTCAACACTACGCTTTTATTGCCACAAACCTTCATCAACCTCATTCAACAACTATATGAAGACGCCACATGCCGGCCAACTAATTCACAATGGGAAGCTCAGTGATGCCTTTGGAGTGAAAGTGAAGACAGGAGTGAAACAAGGCTGTCTACTATCACCCATGATATTCTTGATTGTGGTGGAGTGGATCATGCAACAAACAGTGGTGAGCGAGAAGAGGGGGATATGCTGGCTGGACCGGGGAAAAGAACCTAGAAGATTTGGATTTCGCGACCGATGACTTGTGTCTGATGTCACACAAACTTGAAGATCTACAGGCAAAATCCAACAAGTTGATAGAAGAGGCAACAAAGGCGGGACTTCAAGTGAATGTGGAGAAGACAGAGGTGATGAAGACACCTTAAAACACCACCAACAACAACAACAACAAGCTTCAATCAGCATGAACGGGAGAAACTTAAAGAAAGTAGCCTCCTTCACCTATCTAGGTAGCACCGTTTCAACCACAGGTGGTACAGACGAGGATGTCAAAGCCAGGATGAGAAAGACAGCAACAGAGGCCACCATTAACTTGAAAGCAGTGTGGAGATCTTCTGCACTACACTCAGCACAAAGAACAAGAACCGGATTTTCAACACTAATTTCAAGTCAGTTGCGCTATATGGTTCCGAGACCTAGAGCGTTACGAAAGGGATTTCCAACGAACTACAAAGATTCATTAACAACTGTCTACGCTCGTCACTGAAGCTCGGATGGCCAGAATGATAAGAATAAGCAACAAGGAACTCTGACTGGTTGCCAACGAACCAACCAAGAACCTATCGCTCAACAAATAAGCAGTGGAAGGAAGTGGAGATGGATTGGGCATACAGTGAGAAGGTAGACTGGGGACATCACGCGTATGGGCAGGGAGTCGAGTGGAACCCAGATGGGAAGCGATGAGTTGGACGTCCGAGGGTGACATGGAGGAGATCATGTGAGGAAGAAATAAGAGCTTCTGGGCTGTCGTGGAGCCAGGTTCAAAAGATTGCAGAGAACAGAGTGGAATGGAGAAGTGCTACTGAAGCCCTATGTTCCACCAGGAGCTCAAGAGAAAAATAAGAATAATAATAGGTGGTAGTGAAGAAGTACCTGATTCAGTGGTACATTCTCAAAAACCTACCTTACATGAATATGCTTTCGGTGGTTGCAGCAAGTCTGACATCACTTAAGCAGGCTGTAAGAAGCTGCTTTTGGCAATGACTGTGTCAACAGACAAAAATCTAAATGGATTACATTCCCAGTATGTGACAAAGTTTCTGTTACAGGAAACAAAGTCTATCATACACACACACACACACACACACACACACACACACACACAATACACAAGTCTCTTGTATTTTTCAACACACTTTTAGGCGTATTATACGGGTGAAGACTGAGGCCTCTTCAGGAAATGTGCAGCCCATAACAAATAATCTGACTAAGTAGAAACTTATTGTAGAGCCATGCCTTTCGTTAGGTTTAGAGGTTTCATCAATGGTATGTTTCTCATTTTCTTATCAGTCAGTTAATATTTAGCGTAGATTAAGGTTGTGTACTAACTCCTCAACTATTGGATAGAACATCATTAGTTGATTCCAGGTCGAACCTTCTAGTTGAAATCATTGTAACGATCATTTTAAACAAATCTACTGTCTACAGTTAATTTTATGATAAGAGTATGAGGCGATTAAAGCAGGTAAAAAGCCTTATATTGAAGCTCTTCTCAGCTAAAGATGTCGCGGACCACTGATGATGATGATGATATCTATGAAAACGTGAGTGAGAGCCAACCTGCAGACAGGCCAACTAGCAGAATCCCTGCAGCTGACTGCTATGAGATAGTAATTCATCTGGAAGCATGAAAATTTATCAATAACTGAATTCACTCTCCAGGCGATTGAAAGGAAATTCTACATACAGTCAAGTTGTTTCAACGGTATATGTCATCAGAGTAAAAGCTGATAAATTTATCCATAGTTCGTTCTTTTTTCTTGTATATCACGAACTGGCAGAAGTTGGAATATATGAGCCAATAGATTCCAATCTAGTGGCTCAGCAGTAATCTGCTGGCCGTGGAACCTACAGGGTCATAGGTGCGCGCTGTTGAGGAGTCCCGCACCACGACGAAACAGTTGTCCGGTGCTTCCAGATTTTCAATAGTTCTCTCAAAACTGGCGTCAGTCCGCCATGAAAATAAACTAACACTCATAATAGCTTCAAGGAAGTTTAGATATTGTTATTAAAGTATATGGTTACCCTATTTTGATAATTCGTCACATTAAATTAACTGGTCAGTGTTAAGAAATCAAGTGTGCTATTTGATGCGTTGATTCCTCTCCTACTTGTGGGTCGATAATAGTCGCTAGTGATCAGCAGTGCGCCTCCTCTGTGCTATCCATAAGTAAGATTCACTACGTTTCGGTTCAATACAAAGTCGAAGAGCGAGGATTTGCGCAGTAGATTAGATTCTAGTGAAATATACTACTGAATAACTTAACTTTAGTAGAAACAAACCACTCAGGCTGATCTGTAGATTTTGCCAGACAGTCAGATAAGAATGATCTAAACATCGGACGGCCTTCTCACTCGTTTAAGGCCGGGCTCATCAGCAGTGAACATGAATAAATTCATCTGAGTCTGGCTGGTTGACCTACATCAACTCATGTTGTTCAGTCCTATATGTCGTTATTTCATGACCTTTTTGTGTCAGAGATCATAGCTTATAAATTTGGCTGATGGCTGGTTTTCATCCGAAAAAACAACAGTTGAGCAGTTGAGAAAACTACTCATCTATACGAAATGTCAATACAAACCGTATACAATTCATAAGCCATTTGCAAATTAACCATCCTAGATTAGATTCTATCCATTTAAAAACCCCTAAAGGAAAATGAAGAGTTTTTCAAGAAGTTTACGGTATTCGACGATATGCTGTGAATGACATAAGATTGACTGAATTTGATGCATTTTACTTTTGCTTGTGTCGGTGCAGACATTAACTCTAGGAATAAACTACTGACCTTAACCGTAACCTAAGACTGTAACTCCCCGGCTTACCGCACTCAATCAATGGGTCACAGACTTACACTATTTAAATAGTAACATATCAACAGGTTGCTGAAATATGTAAATTCAAGTTAGTATTCATCACGGACTGACATCAGCTGGAGAACCATTGAAAACCTGGTAGCACTGGACAGGCGTTTCATTCTAGTATGTGACTTGTCAGCAGTACGGACTCATTAGTGACTCTCACTAGTGACATTTTTCGAGATGGATATCCCGAAGTTCTAGTGAAAAGCTGCAGCCTGTGGGATCAACTAATTGGAAGTGAAGCGGATGCCAACTAAAGATCTTGGTGGGAGTAGGAAATTGTGGACCACTGAATTTCTACCCAGTAGATGAATGATTAACGCGTTTATCACGAGATCTGTAGTCCCTGAGTTTGACCCATAGCCGGGTCGTGGGTGCGTGCTGCTGAGAAGCCACATACTAGGACGAAACAGCTGTCTGGAGCTCCATGGTTTTCATTACATCTATGAACTGACATCAGTTGGAGAACCATTGATAACCTAGGAGCACTGGACAGCTTTTTCATCCTCGTATGGCACCTCTCAACAGTGCGCACCCATGCGCACTCAATCTTTATCTATCGAATCAACATCAAATATGTGCAAATGGAATGATTCTGCACCTGTTCCAAATATATGGAAAATTCTACTATCCTTATCATAATAGAGAAGAGAGAATTATAACTATATAAGCCACGTCTCAGAGTTGTGGAGTTATTTTGTTTTGACTATGGATAATACATTGCCCAAGATGTCGTCTAGTAGATAATACCGTTCCACTGTGTTACACATCTAATAAATAGACAAAAACATTGGATCACGGGTCCGAACCTCACTTTATATACTTAGGTTGAGCAACCATATAGTAAGTGTACCTCACTGTCCAGTACAGGAGTTGTTTAGTTGTATCTCAGATTAAAAAGCCCACTCTCAACCCTACCCTGAAGGATAAATTAAGTTGGAATAGAATTAAGAATTTAGATGATGATAACGTCTTCCACAAGGAAGCAGCTCCCATTGCATTCTATTGATAAATATATGACATTATGTGCGCATGCATCGCGTCCAAAGTAAGCCAACGATCTTAAATAATAATGCATTCTCGCTTGATGTGCTGGTATGAAGTGGGCAAAATTGGACCGTTACACGGTAAGGCTAGGTCTTATGTTGAGATTGTCTTTCAGAGTACAGCAATTAGCTCCTGGTTGTTTGATTATCATATTATGCAGAAGACAATTTACTAGCACAACCAATGATTTTCACCCAACATTATACAACTTTTAGTCAGAACTCTAAAAAGATTTTAAAATCAACCATAGAGGAGGCTGATGATCAGAAAGAAAGAGGGGATCAAAAATCTACTGTTGAAAGTCTAACAGTACCGTAAATATTGACCAGGTGTTTCTGAAAAGCACACAAAATATGCGCCACCTTCATAAATACCGATAAACTAACACGGTAGTAAATATATATATCTTGTGGATAGTTCGATAGTCTTGTTGTTCTTCCGACTAACGTATATGCTTACAGACCTGCTATTATCAATCTAGACACCGTTTCCAGTGCAATCCCCATGAGGAAGAAAATATCAAGTTAATCATGACGAAAAAGCTTCAAACTCACCTGCATGAACTGATTGTTAGATGGGTGGATAGGAGGTTTGTCTTGACTGGCCATAGTTGCTGAACGTCTAGACAAAGTGTCCATTTGATCTCGTCTATAATCCCATGTTTTTTGTGAGCCTTTAAAATAGCCTAGTCTCAGAGGCAGCATATCGATCAGACGTTTTTTCTAAGTAATTATGAAGCTTGGTCACATTGACTATATTATCAGTTCGATCTGTTTTAAAGCTGCCTGGTGAAATTAAATGAATAAGATTCGAGATAGCTTTACGTTCAGCATCAAATGTTGCACGAGTCAATAAATATGAGGTGATATTTCGAGCTTTCTTCGTCGGAGTTACTGATCTTGTTGTTGAATTGGCATCCGGCATATCTATACATAGGCTAGGTGCAACTGCTGAATGAACAGCCGTTGTAATTCGAAACGCCGCCAACCAATTCATATATTCATCTAAATTCGGAAAACGTAACCAAAGCTCATTAACTAGTCCAGTCATGGCTGCCGATGATCCAGTCAAAGCACCGATACCACCAACACCGATCGGCCCGTTGTGAGTTCCATTCGATGATATGCCGAGAACATTACTTAGATGCGACAATGAGGTCAAGGATAATAAGGAAGCTCTTCGTTTCAACTTTACACCAACAGTGGAATCTTCATCGTCTGCCTGCAGATCATCCAGCTGATGGTTAGTGGCAAATGCTGCGGACAAAGGTAGATTTGTACGTGAAACAGGCACGTATAAACGAATGTTGAATTTTTCTGATGAAATGCACAAATCTGGCTGAATTTCACAACCAGGTAAGTAGATTACTTCAGCTGCGTCACTGTCTGATTGGTAGTCCTCTTTATTCTAGAAAAAGCAAGGTGGATCGGGAAAGAGGTGTTATATTAAAATGAAGCACAATCGACAGACATCAACCAAAGTAAACACACGAATTTCCAAGCTGAAGAGCTAGTGGAAAACATGGATCGATCTTAACGTATCATCATTAAGTAGTAACCATCCCCTAATTTTCCGACCTTAATTGATAACGAAGACAAAGCGAGAGACAGAGAGAAAGATTTCCAAATGGTTTGTGAGAAGATGAGAAAATCAAAACTCACTCAGTAACCTTGTACACATTCATGCAGTAGGCAACGAGCGATACTTGATGTATGAGGGCAAGTGAAACTACCAGGCTGCCTAAACCTCTGTAGGTGGAGTGGGGCTTGAACCCGAGACCCTCTGGTCAACAGTCAGCTCCCTAAAGGTATGAACTGCAGTTAAACGACAGAAGAAATCGAAGCTAGTTAAAATTAACTAATACTAACATTGCAGGATTGTTGTTTTTACTTAAGAATTGAATGAAGCTGACACAGCACCAGCTTGCTAACTATGAGACCTTGGAATCGTGGGACTGAATGCAGATACAGCCTATGAATAACGAAAGTTGTATCTTGTTTTTTGCCAACTTCGTAGATAATGTCTGTTCAGTAAAGGTATTTTCAAGTCTGTCAAACTACCAGGTGTAAGCTACATGTTGTTTTCTGTGAACGATTTGTTAGTAGCATATAAGTAGGAGTAATTTGGAAAAACTACTACTGATTTCTCCGAACCAGTCCTTATTTAAACTTGATCATTTATGTAAAGACTAGTTTCAAATGGATGGAGCCAGTCGCTAGAAAGTTCTTTTCGATTAAAGTTCTTCACTTTTCCCCACTAATCGAAAAGACATACCTGCGACCATCGTGAGATGATGTCGGCTTAGATGTATCAGCGTACTGTACTCAGATACGGTACAATAGGATTCTTCCATCAGTAGCTAACCGATTCTAGGTCTCAATTAAGTACAATATTGGCAATAATGTTATCTGGTTATTTCAATTTTTAATAAGGTGACCTTGAAATCAAGCTAAGTTTGATCCGAAACAAGCAGTAAGAAGGAACTGTTATTGAAAATAAATTTAGCAAACTTGTTGTTAATGTGGCTAGACAAGTGAATCTCAAGGCCATCCTAGACATGGCTGAAATAACCAATTAGAACCAAGTACTTTAGTAAGAAAGGCGAATTTCCATAAAACCAGGTTGTCTAGTTGGTTATTTCGGTTGTTGTTATGGTAGCCTTTAGAGTGACTCGGTCAAACTAAAATATGCATTTTTGAACTGATACCACAGGCGTTGACCAGAGGGTTTACATTTCCGGGACTTACGGAGCCTATTTCTCTTATTTTAATATGAAACGTCATACTACTCATAAGTAGCAATATGCGCAGTTCAAAATACTCACCATGTATGTTTATACTGACACGAATCAATATTTAGAAATTGCGTTTTGAATATTTCAAGCTCTTAGTGTTTGCACTCTAGATACGTTTTCTCTTTGACCTATGCATCACTGATCAACATTTCAAATTCTGATTGAACGTGGCTTCAATGGAATTCTGCTTCACCCATTCCAAACATATGTTAAAATGTTTCCTGACAGAAACACGCTTTTGATTGATTTCTATCTAATGTCGTTGAACTCACTTCTACTAGTAACCGATCACGAATTAAACTGAAGTAGTTCTTCTCGAAGTTTTCGCTAGTGGCACCACCCATCCTGTCACGGGGTCCAAAGTGTATGTCAATTAATGTACATGAAGCTCACCGATGGTCTTTGCGTGCCGCTTTCAAAAAGCTAACGGACCTTACACTGATGTTTACTGCTACTGTATACTGGAATGCAAAGCTCCGTCATCCTTTTGACTTACCAATTAAGTTTCCTGTGACATTCAGATAGATTCGGAGTGAGAGAAAACCTCTTCAGAACGGCTTTTATGACTAGTCAACTGAAGTATTTTCATTATTTGCGGCATGAAAAATATTCAGTGATGACAAGATGTCATTATCGGTGCAGTATGATACATGAGCTAGATATTTCAGCGCCATAACTAAAGAATTGTCAAACTGCATTTTATTTTGACGTTCGAATCCCGAAGTCAGTCGGAAGGCTGCAGACACACTTTGCTGATGAGGACTAACAAGCACAGAACCTAGGTCGAGGCAGGCTTCCTTCCGGGTGACTCCTGAAACCTCTTCGTGCAAAAAAAGGACCAGTGAAGTATTGAAAATGAATATCACGGGGAACCTCATGGGTAATCTGTAAAAATTCCTCACAGAAGGCTTTCTGCAACCAGTTCTTTCTTAATTTGCGAACCACTCATCATTCGGGAACAGACTTGACACTGTAGAACAACTAATGCCCAGTCCATACGCATAATGTTCTTCCAGAGGCGATAAGCACTCTGGATAGCTCAATGGGACCTCCTTCGACTGATTTACATGACTTGGGATATATATATATATATATATATATATATATATATATATATATATATATATGGTTTCGGCGCTCAGTTCGCAAAATATATGTCCTGGATTCGAACTCTACTTCATGTACTTCAACGCAGGTGACAGGATAGTAGTGTAGCCCCTAAAACATAAGTTGTTGCCCATAATCCAGTGCACAAACTTGTACAAGGTCGCCGAATTGAATTATTGTTATGAGCACATTTGTTGATAAATGAAGATTAACCGATTTCATGTCGTGCATAGTCCTAAGTAGTGACCGAGTTCTACCGATTATTTCCTAACGTGGTCACCAGACTATGCAGCTCCTCATCACGGTGCACTTTGGTTGGTGTTATGTGGTTGGAGGCGATCCACGGGAAGCCCTGATTGGCCTAGGTTTCATGTCTGTTAGCATTCGTTAACAAGGCATGTCTTCAACCTCGAGGGAACTGATGTCCTCTCTGAGATTCGAACCTACGTCACACCTCTGACTCCAAAGTCATTTTGTTCTTATCTAGGTTCTTGGAACTTGGTTCTGCACATCATAAAGTATCGAATTAGTTCTACTGGGCAAAGATGTTGGCAGAAGGCAATCTTCTTCTGTTCACTTTTAGTGAGTCTGTGAACTTTTGGGATGCAAATTGTTGACATTACAGCTTGTCTGCTTTGAAACCTCTTCTTTACAACCGAAAGTAAAGTGCTTGAATGAGTTGGATATTTCATTTACTCACAAATTCTGGCAGCTGACAAGGTCTCGGCAAGGATGGAGAGTGTTCAATCGGCTTTCACTAACCTACGCCATCTACAGCACTCGTGAGATACTCAAAAGAACAGTGGGGTGTACTACAAAGTAGATCCACAGTAGAATGGTGGAAAATACAAGGGAACATTGGTTCAAGAGGACAGTATCTTGATCGGTTGGCTATTGGTTCGAGTCACAGTCAAGTAATTATTTCAGCCGATATCTGAGCAGGTCGCTACCGATCTTCATTTTCTCTGTTACCACTACCTGTTTTGTCACCTAATAACCACAGTAAACCTTGAAATATCATCATCAGTGTACAGTAACAAGTAGACAGACTACTTGCAAGTAAGTTTGACAGGAAGTGGACTGGATGAAAACCAATATTCTAAGTCATTAGCAGCTAAGGTAGGGGTTTTTGATTTCAACCTTGATTTCGTGCTGCTGCGTAGGCAGGAAAAACCTTACCGGACAATTTTGTCCTACAGCTGACCAATCAGAATAAGTATTCAGCTTTTGACTTAGTGGCTTTATTTTCTGTGGAAAAACAGTGTAGTATAAATGATGTGATTTTTGTCAAATAAAGTTCCTCCTTAAAATTGCAGGCCGATCTTTATCTTCTGATTTTCGCGGCTCAGGTCTGAGGGAGAACAGTGGTTATTCGTATCCAGTAGAAGTATCTCATGGCATAAATAGCGTTCTCATATTACTATGTCAGTCAATTTCACTCAGTAACTTCAAAGTTAAAATTTAGACAAAGGATCTTTATAAACTCACTTTATAAACAAACAATTCAGTTCGCTTGATAGCCATGAAGTAACGACGATAAACTTTTAAGCCAAACTTCCTAGGCTTACAAATCTTGACATAAGTGTTCAATTCTGGTAAACCGGGATCAACATCGATTCCATCTTGCAGTGAACCACTATGACCATCTATGCTATCCAGTAAACTTAATGGACGCGGAGATCGTTGTCTAGGCCTGGAACGATGTTGAGTTTTGATGCCGTCCACTGGCAGACAACCATCTGAATTCTCTAAACAATTTGTTGACAACTCTTCAAGCATAGCGTCGATTTCGTTATCCAATTCAACGGCGCTCACAGGTCTTGATGATGATTTAATATGCCGGCCGGTGTGTAGATATCCACCGAGTGGGGAAATATCACGATTGTGGATAACCAGTGTGGAGGTGATCTTTTTCCTGTTTGTTTTACAGTTCTCAGCAATACTTTTATCCATGAGGCCATCAATTACTTCATGAGTACCGTTAGCTTTTCCATTGACGTTCACCTCTTGACTATTCTTCAAATTCTCATCGTTCAGTAATGCTTCTTGTTCAGTAGCCAATTCCGCCTAGAATTCAATTTGAAATTGATAAAGCATCTATACTTACTGATTAGAATGAGAATAAAAAGTTGATAAATAGGTTACTTTTGCGACTATTAAGGTAAGTCAGCGGAAACTGTTACGACATTGAGTGTTTTTAGTAGTTCTTTCTTCGACTACTGGGAACCAGCATTCAAGTACTCAAGCCTGATGATAGCTTATGGTCTCTTTTACGTGGTTAAAGGCAATCCAATAAGAAGTCCTCAACCCAGGAATTGTATTTGCTAACACTTGCCAACACGGTGCATTGGCAAGCACAAGGGAAGTGAGACCTCCTTAGAAATCCTAACCTGAAGATCTTATCACTGAGCTATTCAGGTCACTGTTGAACTCCTATAGGACTGGATGAGATTCACTGACTGCTGACTACAGATTTACCAGTTTCATATTGTGAGTTGACCAAATCCATCGGTCATTTTCCAATATGGTCATCACGTTCATCGATTGCAGTGCACGTTGAATGGATGGTAGTCAGCAAGAAGCCATCGACCTACATCTTCTGCATAACGATATTCGTCAGTAGTCAATATTCAACTCATGCGAATAATTAACTATTTACAATGCTCGAATGTCCTTTTAGAGGCTCTTCGTAATCATCAACATATTGGTCGATATAAGGAGGTCTCTTTTATCTGTATTCACTTGTAAACTTCCCCTACTATACATTACCATCCCTTGTACGATAATTACACTTGAATCAAACCATTTTGTCCTCTGAAAGGATGGATAGAATAATTTTCATGATAATTAGACGGAAAAAACTTCATAAAATCTTACTACAAACTGTGTCCATCTGCTCCTCAGAAATCATTGGAGTTTTCTAACTAATATATCAAGGAAAGCAAAGTATGAGGTAGTGTAATTTGCTTTAACTATACTTTCTTCAATTTATTAGTACTTTTAAACAGATAGACAGACGGAATCAAAGTAAAACTTTGTACTCAGGTACATTGGTTCAAGTTGCCACACTTCACAATAGTACACAAAGAATAGTTTGATAGAGTTAGGGTGATGTCAGTGTAGACAAAGTTGTATGAGAGAATAAACAAACTGAAGGTAAAGGTTAATGCAAATATTGAAGTTTAAGAAGACGTCAAAAAGTGAATACATCTGCGCCACTGTGACTGATTTCCAATCATGTCACTAAGAGTCTTAAACCACTGATTCCTTTCGTCTTGCGGACCCCAGCCCACTAGTCTATATCTCTTAACACGCCTCAGGCTAACAGTCAGCGATTTCATCGACTGTTAACAGGTCTTGGTCTGGCCACCCTGAACCCTTTTCCACCCTAATCCGACTTCCCCTAGCATGGCATGTCGAGGTAGGCGGTTGCTCGGTATGCGCAGTACATGTCAAAGCCACCCCAGTCGACTATGGTTCACAATCTCATCAATCGACTGGCCTATCTTGCCTAATACCCTTCTCCTGACCTCAAAATTGATCACATATTCACTACTATGCTGAAGTAAGTTGGCCGACCTCCGTTGCTACATGGTTTTCTTGAATGGATGGATCGATATGACGCCGTTTCATTACAACTTCATGTACTTGATGATGGCTAGCAGCGGAATTCAAGATGTATTATCGCTCTACTTAGGAATCGTTAACTAGATCATTAAACCTGGTAGCGCATAGTAATCAACTGTAAATTACAACTGATAGCTATTGCATAAGAAGTTACTCTCATACCCCATTGGCCTAGTGGACAACGCTTTGGATTTGGAATCGATGGGTGAGAAGAATACCATCACTCCTCATTGGGATGTAGGTACATTGAGCTGACGAGTCTCAAGTAGGACAAAACTTACGTCCTCGAATCCATTGCTGGTCACCGCTGAGCAAATAAACTCGTGGCTCCTTCAGATTTAGTCAATCTAAACTTAAACTCGCTGGAATGCAAACTCTCAGATTCTAGTCACAGCTAAATTATCGAGCAACTACACTCTGCAGCTTGATGGAGAATGATGAAAGTGTCACACGCGTATAAAGGTGGACGAGTATTACACAACACCGCTATACAGCTTGATGAAATAGCCTGGTGTCGTTCTCACTTCCCTGTGAAGACAGATGTCACATTCTGCTTGGTTACTAGCAGGGGAATCCAAGACGTGCGTTTTGTCCCATTCAGGTCTCGTCAGCTGCATATACTTGCACCTCAGTAAACGTTGTTGTTCCCACTGAGAATCAAACCCGGTAATCATCATTTCAAACGCCAAAGCGTTATCCACTGGGCCAATGGGGTGCAAGAGCAGCAGGTATCAGATGTTGTTTCATGCATGTAATTTCCCGTTCCTATACTGGATCGAACTGCCCGGCCTCTATTAGCAGATGGGCTTCTATGCAGATCTCTCATTACTGCGACAAAGATTTCATGTAATTTTAGTAAATTTCGGTAGCTTCAACTGAACTCATGGATATGCTGAAATTCATCCCCGATGGTTTTGAGAATAAGGGATAAGCGAAAACACCCTATGCTTAAGTTGACAAAACCTTTGTGCATTGGTAGTGATGAGCGATAGAAGAGGACAAAAAGACAAAGAGATATGGGAGGCAGCAATGACAGTCAACAGTAGCTTGCAGTTGAAATTTTCTAACGAAACCCAATGGAAATAGAGATTACGAACAGAAAACTTTTTTTGGAATGTTCTGCAGACACTCATTGTTATTTCTTATAGAGTTCGTATGTGTTACTTTCAATATGACCCCTTCAAATGAAAGTCATCAGTGTAAAATCTACATAGAAAGTTTAAACTTTGTCAGACTTTTGCTTGAAATGACCTTAAGCAAATGTGCTTGTTTAGAAAATAATGATCCAGTAATTTTCGGCCTTGCAGACAGCTACTACTTTTTTTCCAACTCTGATCCTCTCCACCCTTTTGTACTGTATATGAAGATGATAAATGAGTTTCGTAGTCATAACCTCGGTATTACGATTAATTAGTAGGATAGACTGGGTTGGTTCAGTAATGTAAGGAGAGCAAAAAACAATCATTCAAATAGCTTACACCATATGATTATTAGCTGTGTATTTAGGCATGAATACGCAGATTTTTGAACATAGTGGCTTGTCATTCTGCTTTTAAATTATCCGCCATATTTTTTGGCATTCAATGCTCAATCATTTACAAGGTCCAGGTTAAAACGTTTCAAGATGGTATTGTTGTATTGAATAAGTCATGGTAAAATTGTTTCAACCTGACCCCTACTACATAACGTTTCAGATCTACTGCACAATTATCGAGAGATGCCAGTCATTCCGGGATGCATTAGAAAAACACGCCAATAAACGTAGAGCCATCCCTTGAAGTTGCCACAGTGTACAGAAGCACGAAAAGAAAAACCAGACAGAAAGTGAAGGAAATTAAAGTAGTCAAAAGTGCATTAGAGCAGAAAGAATGGAACGATGAAGGCTGATGACTCAGAAGATGAAAGAGTGTATATATCTGGGTCACTATGACAAATTTCGAGATCCTTCAATCATGAATCCTTACCTTTTGGTAACGTGTATCACTGTATACAGCTAAGACAAAAAGTCAGCGACTTTGTGGATGGTCCCACCCCTTAATCTAGAGTTCTTGCAATCAAATTTTACCGTGGCTAAAATTACGCGCTATCGGTGGAGATCCATAACCTAACTGACTGGCTTACCTTGCTTGCCTAGTACTCTACATTTGACCTCACAGTATTGCTAATATAGTGGTCCGTCACACGCATGATATGCCAAGAAGAAATTTATGGTTGCAAACCTGTAGCGTCCTTGTCTTGTACCCTCAAAAGAACCTCCAGAAATCGAAACGAATATTTATAGACTACTACTCGCTTTATACATCTACAACTCAAATCAGGATTTTTTATCCGTCTCATTCTGTAATATATTTTAACTAGTAGTACATGACAGTCTGTCAGTCTTAGCAAGGCCTAACGACCACACCTTACAACTACTGTCCATAGGGTTAATAAATTAGTGATTTGTACTAGGTATGAATGTTGTTACTAACCAAACAGTTAATGATGAAATTATAAGAGTTTTAAAGTGTTCTGCAATATGACTATGCTGGTGATACACACTTACCGCTGGAGCGTCCAGTACACTGTAGCCCCATAGCGATAATGGCGGTTTGCAGATGGATTACAAAAGCAGATAGTATTTTCATAGCCGGCATCCATCCGCTTCATTCGATGCACACACCAACATTTTTGGCTCACTGGTTATTCAGTAATCTTGTTATCCCCCTTGATTGGTTATTCCCTTGTCTGGTGAACAATTATCGATTAGTCGTTAATCAACGTCAACGGATAAGCAGTCATCAATCCAGTACATGACCTTCTGCCTATAACACAAATAGGTCACTAGTGTGTATTCAATACAAACTGTCTAGTCGTTAGTGCCTATCAGTGATCAAAGTTTATCGATCAAGTTTCTCACTATGGTTACTCACAGATTTGTGTGCATGATCCAGCCCTATAGCAGGTCACTCACGGCCTGAATAGCTTACTGGTAAAGAATTGGACTTCAGGACTAAATGATGCAGGTTTTAGTCACTGAGGGTACGCCAGTTTTCTCATTGTTGCAAGTACATCCTAGTGACGAGCACTAACAAGCCTGAAACTTGAGATAAGCAAAGAGTCTTGCCGACTGACCTTCAATATCTTACATCTTTAATTTACTTGTATAGTCACACGATCGGATTCTTTGACTGTACTGAAGTTGGCAAAGCGGTAGCCAATCTTACTCAGGGTGAAGATGTTCAGATCAGTTTGTTCTCTTACAATGTACAACTAGAGTCAAAAGCTTATTTGCTATCTACAAAGTAATCTAATTTGAGTAGGTTTTCCTCTTGTATTCATAATGTGTCAAATTAGTGAACAGATAGTGATTTCTTCCGCGTTCAATGTTCAATATACGATCTTTATTCGTTTATTCAACCACTAATAAAGTTGGAGTTGTCAATTAATGAGCAATTAGT